CCCCTCCCCACCCCTCCACACACACACACTCCCCACGCACCTGCTCTGTAGTCGTCGTTGTCGCGCAGGACGGCCAGCTGGCGGTCCACCTGCTCCCCGCACATGGCCCTCGCCTTCTCGACCCCGCCTGGCTCGCGCAGCAGCGCGCGCACGCCCGTGCTGTGCCGCCGGCTGGAGTAGTAGGCGTCCTTGCGCTCGCGGTGCGCGCGACGCACCTCCGACACGCGCGCGTACGCCTCGTCCTGCAGCTCCTTCAGGCGCCTGCGCTCGGCCAGGATGGCCTCCACCTCCGCGTCCACGGCGCGCTCCGCCTCCCAGAAGCCGTCCAGCACCTCCTTCTGCGCGGCGCGCTCCTCGCGTAGCGCGCGCGCCTCCTCCTCCGCCTCCGCCAACGCGGCGCGCGCGCGCGCGGCGTCGGCCAGCAGTGCCGGGTCGCGCGCCGCGCCGGCGGCGGCCTCATACTCGGCCACGCGCGCGCGCTGGCCCGCCAGGCGCTTCAGCCCCGCCACCAGCCGCTTCTCCTCCGCCAGCGGGACCGACTCGTGCTGCAGGCGGTACTCCATCCCCGCCAGCCGCTCGTCCAGCTCCGCCACGCTCCACACCTCCAGCTCGGGGTACGACTCGCGAAGGCGGCGGGGGCCGGCGCCAGCAGAGCCGCGCGCCGCCTCGCGCAGGGGCGTCACCACCTCCATGCACGCATTGTACGCGTCGCGGCACAGCCGGTACGCCTCGCGCGCCGCCTGCGTGTCCTTACGCGCGTCATCCCGTGCAACCTGGCAGAAGAGGGGGGGGGGGGAGGGTCTTCCTTGCACGTGTGTGGGCTGGCGGCGCATCACACGGCGCAGCGTGACAGCCTGGTACGGACCCCTCCCAGGGAAGTGGTCCTGTGCCCAACAAGCATGCAGACCGACGCTCAGCGCCCACCTTCTTCACCGAGGCGCTTTCATTCAGGAGCTTGACTTGCTGCGTGTAGGCAGCCAGCTCCTGCTCGAGGGCAGCCAGGGCGGTGACCTCTGGGGGCTTGGGCACCCTCACGAGCCACAGCCTGTGTGTGTGAGGAGTAGAGCAGGTGCATGGGCGGGGTCCGCATGGGCATCCATGGCGCCCCCGGTGGGCGGCAGGGAGGAGGCAAGCACGTCGAAATGGAGTGGCAGGCAACGGCGCGCGCTGGGGCATGGCGCGGAGCGGTCGGCTCCGACGCAGTGGGTAGCAGCACGCGCTCCCCCGATCAGGGGCCTCAAGTGAGGCTACTGCCACGAAAACTCACCGGCGCGGTCCCCGCTCCACGGCGTGGACGGCCAGGGCGTCTGCGTGGCGCGTACCCCCGAGGGAATTGGTAGTGCTGCCTGTCGCACCCTCAGACTCTTCCAATGCATCCGTGTCCATTTCGGACACGTCCACTGCATCCGGCAACTTTGTTCTAGACAGATCCTGGGGCTCCGAGACCACCTCGAGCTCCCCCGAAGTGGGTGGGATCTGCGGCTCCACCTCCATCATTGGGAAAGACGAGCCCCGGTCAGCCTGCGTACTTGCTGAGAAGAGTTGTGCTTCAAGGGTCCGTGCACTAGTGATCCCACAGACGGAGTTAACAGAGGCATCTGAAGTTTGAGGCATCTCAGCTCGGATGGTACCACGGTACCGAGCTCCGCGATGATGGCTCACCAACTGCCTCTTTACACGACTGGGCAGGAACTGGGCACCGCCTTCCAAGCACGCACTCCCAATTGGAACACCCAGCATGATCCCTATGCATGGAACGGTCATGGCTGTATCCATCATGATGTCTGAACCTTGAGCTTGTTCTGACGAGTCGCCTTGCGCCCCTTCTTTCCCGGCGAAGTGAACGTCGGCAGCTTCTTCTCCAAGCGGGCTTGCAGCATGCTCCGACGCGCCTTCTTGGCGCCCTCCTTGTCCCCCGTCTGCCATGCGGGTCGGATTGGAAACGCGTTTGGCCAGGCATGAGCTCGGTGCACGTGGGGCAATTGTGATGAGAAATATCCTATTCCACCGTACAGCCCCATGACAGACCTTCTCCTTCAACTCTGCAACGAGTGTGAAGAGGGGCTCCAGGGCCGCCGCTGCAGCGCGCTGATGAGGCTCGCTGCCCACCTTCACCAAGGCCTGCATTTTGGAGGGGTGGGACGATGCTGAGATGGGCCTCGCGCCTGGCACAATCAGACTGCCACATGGCACGGCACCCCCTCTGGTCGATCGTACGCTGTGCCTCTGCATCGTCCCATTTTCTGATTTCCACCCACCTGCGCCTGGAGGAGGGCCTGGTTGGCGTAGTCCACGGCCGTGCCGGTCTCCCCCAGCTGGTCCAGCGCTTCGGCGGACGCCCTGTGCACGGACGGCAATGGGGCGGGGTAGTGCCAGGAGACGAGCTCAGATGGGGCTAGACAGGCAGCGAGCCGAGGCTTGTGATGTCCAGATGAAAGCTCTTTGCGGTGCCCAGGGCATGAGCCAGTTTCCCAGGCCTGCGTGCCTATGAAGTCACCTTCACTTTTGCTGTGACACGCCGCCCGCCCTCAAGCACGCCTCCACCCACCATGCCTCCCCAATCCATCCCCTTGGTCGCCTCCCTGCAGGCTGCCCACACTCCCCACACACAAAACACACAACCACAGCCGCCTCCCACGCACCTGAGCAAGAGCACCCGGTGCTGGACCATGGGCAGCTCGTAGGCCCTGAACCCGTCCAGGATCGCCAGCTGGTGGCGGTAGAGCAGCAGGGCCTCCTCAAGCCGCGACTGCCGCCGCGAGAAGCGCGCCAGCGCATCCAGGCACTGCACGAACACCATGCTCTGCCGGCCGTAGCCCTCGCCCGCCACCTGGATGGCTTCCTGCAGTAGCTGCTCGGCCTGCTCAGCCGCGCCGGCGGGGACCTCGGGTGGGGCCAGCAGGTCCGCAGCCTCCCACAGGCTCCTGATGGCCGACCGCCGCGCACTGTGCACCAGCTGCAGGATTCGGAGGGTGGTGGGCTGAGGGTCGCGGCAAATTGACTAGGGGTTGGATTGACGCTTGCAATGGCTGGCCTGGAGACCCCGGTGGCTGCAGGAATCGACGGGGTGTGGCCTCCCACCAAGGCCAGCACGATCAAAGCTCACCACACCCGCCCTCACCTCCAGCTGGTCCTGCTGCGCCGGCCGGGTCTTGCCGGCAGAGCCGTCCTCGCCCGCCACCGCGGCCGCCAGGGCGGCCCTCGTCACGCCGGCCGCCAGGGTCCGTGCCTCGGTGTCGGCCGCTAGACCGCAGAGCTGGCGCGCAGAGGTGACCAGGAGCGCCACGGCCTCGTCCTGAGGAAGACGGCAAGGAAAGTAGGGAAAATACTCTAGCCAAGCACAGAGAATCTGGCATTGTGGCAGTCAGCATCGAGCAGCCACACCATGGCAGGCTCTGGCAACTGCACGGTTTGCCCGACACTTGGCCCTGCCCACCTGCCTCCCCATCTTCAGGAGGATCTGCGACAGGTCGCGCCTGGCACGGTGCAGGGATGGGTTCAGCACATCCATCGACTCCTGCGGGAAATATGAGGCATGGTGGAGTGCTGGGGCGCTGGATCCTAGGACTGCTGCCAGGGGCAGGCATGCTATCACAACTTGCCATACCCTGACCCCATTCTTGGCCTGTTCTCTGTGGAGTTCTCGTGCGTCCTGTCGCCTCTAATTTCATCCACCCCTTGAAATATACTCGGTCCAGTGCACCCTTCACTCACCTCAGCGAGCCCAATGGCAGCCACGTACGCCGCTGCGGCCTCCTCCAGCCTGTCCTCGGAGCTCCAGGCCAGCCCAAAGAGGGTCATCGCTTGGCTCTGGCATGGCGGGGCGGGAGAAGGTTGGATCACATGAAGGAGGATGCATGCTTACACATGCAGCAGGGAACACCCGTCCCCCCTCCTCATTCCACTCCTTGCCATGGTCACCATCCCAGCTCCCACTCCTGCCCGCCCAAGTGCCAGATCTCCCCCGCCTCACTTTGGCGGCGGGACGCTCGGCCCTGCCAGCAGCAGCATAGGCGATGGCGGTGGCCTCCTTAGCCTCGCCCCAGCGTCGGCCATGCAGGAGCATGTTGGCGAGCAGCATGGCCGCGGAAGAAAGTACCTCGGGCCGCACTCCGCCCGCCAGGGCCAGCCGCAGCGCCACCTGTTGGGCCTTGATGGCGACATGCAGCGGTTTTCTGTCGTGGGGAGATGAGCAGGAGGATGGCAAGGCTGAGGAGGGGGTCCTGGGCATCCATGCAAAGATTTCAATGATGCGAGGGAGCAGCCAGGGAGACACGCAGGCTCGGCACCACTCCCTGTCCACGGCACGCACTGGGGGTCATCCAGGAGCTTGTCTGCCAGAGTGTTGGCCTGCTCGACTCGCTTCTCGGCAGCAGTGGCAGGGACTCCAGGCGCCGGAATATCCTCCAGCTTCAAGTCTGGGATCTCAACGTCCAGAGCAGCCTCAAAGGCCGCCTGATGTGCGCAGGGAGGGGATGCATCCTGGTGTGAGCGGATCGGGTGGTGGCAAGGTCTTCTCACGGAGGAGCCTGAGCTGCATGGATGTTTACAAGCATTCCCATCCCCACCATGCACAGTGATCGTCACCTGGGGGTTGGATACTTGCTTACGATCAGACGGGGGCACAATGCCAGTGGGAACGTCGAGCTCTCTGCCTAAAGCAATGCCCTCCTTGCTCGTCAAGATGTCGTCTTGCTCTGCCGCTGGCAGCAGCAGTGCCTCCTGGACTGGGTTGGCCGACTCAACGCCCGCGTCGCTGGATATCTCTGTGGCCCCATGGGCTTCAACTCCGTTTGCAGCTTTGGATTCCTCAGCTGCCGCGTCTTTGCTCCCGCCCTGCCTCCCACCAGCAGCTCTAGACTCGCCGCCAGCCCCACTCTCATCTGCAGCCAGATGCTCAACACCCTCGCCATCCTCACATGCAGCCAGGCTCTCCTCAGCCACTCCGCCTTCATCAGCCACCACAGCCTCATTCCTTGCTCCATTCTCGTCAGCCGCTACAGTCTCATCGGCCGGGACCAGGAGTCCGGCCTCTGGATTGGCAGGGTGGCGAGCATCGGGCCTAATGACCAGCTTCCTTACAGCATCGAGACCTTCCCCGTCCTTTGCTAAGGGCTGCAGCACCCCGTCCTCATTCTTGCTGGGGCTGGCAACCCCGAGAGGGGGCGAATGGTGCGCTGCCGGAGTCGGGGGTGCCAGAGGGGGTGCAGACGCACAATCCCGAGGGGTACAGGAGCCGGGATTGGCAGCCGGGACCGAGCCCTCCGAGTCTGGCTGGCGCACCTCAGGATCGCTGCTGGCATGGGACGGCGGCGGTGCTGACGCGGGCTCATTGAGAGCTGATGGCTCCAGGTCTGGGGCCTTTGGTGCAGCAGTTCCTTCCAGAGAAAATTCCGACTCCGAAGCGGGAATCAGAGGCTGCACAGGACCATTTTCCAGTTGGTCAGGAGCCCTGAGCTCGGCAAGGGTATTGGCCGCGGCAGTTCCAGCTGCACCTGAAAGTGCCTCAGCGGGGCCATCAGGTGAGGGTGGGAACACCCTCTGTGGCTCAGCGTACACTTCGGACTCCTTCTCTGGTTGTGAAGGAGCTGGCAAGTCCTTCTGGTGGCGAGGCACTCCGTTATCCTGGGGACGTGGCTTGCTGTTGCCTTCCACCACCTCCCGGCCCCTGTGCATGAGGAGGGAAGATCAGTGCTAGACTCGGGATGTGTTTGGGGTCTGATGAAAATTGCTGCAACTTGTGTAAGTCGATAATACATATTTCTGTCAAAATTAAAGAACGCGGGCAATCGCTCACGTCGCTGTGGGCTTCGAGTCGTGGGTTGCAGATGATCTCCGTCGCCTGACGAGGATGCCAGTAGCGATGGACGCACCCACTACGATAACAGCGGCCAGGGTCAGAGGGGTCCCGGTAGAGTTCATTGTCGGAATGGGCATGCTCTGCGAGGGCTTTGTGCGTGAAATGTACCGGCCCCTCTTGATGGGCATTGGCCCGCTCTGGCAGGGGCTCAGTACGGGAGCGCAGGGCAATTCGGCGCACTGCGCTGGGGATTGTAACTTATTCAGACCTTTCCAAAGAGAACATGAGAGCTCGGCTATGGCGCCTTTAGGTGGCTCCTGGCATTTTCTGAAGGTCATCTGTAATGTGTGCTTCTAGGTGTAGGATGTCTTGCCGCGCCACTGAGCGCGTCATGAGCGTCCAGGCTTGTTAAATCAGTTGCACTCGCTCCCCCAAGTGGGACATTCAGTGGCACGACCGCGATCTCAGTTTCAATGCAACTCCGTTAGATCCCTGATTTCGTGGAGGGCCGCGACATGAAGCTCGAGGCAATTCTGCTTCTCAGCGTAACCCTCTTCGTGTCTTCAGCCCATTCCCGGCAACTACTTGCAGATCCTCCAGGTTTGTGGGTTCAGATTATGCGTCCTCCTGGTTTGATTTCCTTATAGTGGCGGTATATTTGCCAATGTGCACTCCTGCAGCACCCAACCACCTCTCGCAGCAGCGACCAGGGTGGAGCGGGTGATCAATGACCTTGGGGTGAGAGCTACCGCACCGACACCAGAAGTGCTGACGGAGGTGGACCTGCTTAAAGCTCCATCCGTCGAGACTGGTGAACCCAGGATGCGGTCGGATGGTTTGCAACCCCAAGAGGCACCAGCAGCGGGACCAGCACAAGGTGGGAGGGCTGTCAGTGCAGAGTAGATGCTGACCAAAAATGCAAGTCCACTCCTCTATGCCCTGTTGTGTATGGCATAATGAGAGCTCCGCACCTTACCTCACACGCTCTAGAAGCTGGCGAGGATGTCAATGCAAGGGGCACATTCCCTGGCTTCTCTACACCGACTGGGTCGTATGCACCCACGGCCGAGCTGCTCCCTCATAACGCGAGCTCTGTCATGGTGACTGCTCAGCCACCGTCCCCACTGCTGCCGCGTCCAGCCGACCCCAACCGCCGGATACCAAACCCCCGGAACACGACACAGCTCAAGCCTCCGGGGAAGTCCCCCCCCCACCCCCCCCCAGTGGGCCAAGCCGAGATCGCTGACACGCTGTGGGATGACCATTCAGCGGAGGAGGAGGAGACTGACATGGAAAGCATTCTAGAAGATGACTTGCAGGCTAGGTGAGGGATTGCAGGTAGAGCAATCAACACAGGGCTTCTGGTACATGGAGGGCCATGGCATCGCTCCTGCTCCAGTCTGCTTGCGGGGTTGCCATGCATCAGGAGCTGAACGCCCTCACGACGCTGTTTTGAAACCCGGCCCGCGCAGGACTCCACTCAAGACGGTGGGAGACGGAGGCCTCCTCGCCCCATTCCTTCCCTATTCCAGGTGCTGGGTAGGGGCGGTCCTGGTCGTGCCAGCCAAGTATGTGCTGATGCAGCTTCTGTGTGGTGCATTCCTCTGTCACGCTCCCCAGCCCCTCCCTCGCCCTTTCCAGACGCTAAAAACCCTTCCCCCCCTTCAGTGTGATTGTTGTGGCTTTGGTGGCGCTGGCACTGGGAGCCGTCGTGGTGTTCTGGAGTAGGCGGCGTGCGCTCCAGCCGGCGCACCTGGCCTCTGTGGAGCTGGGCCCGAGGTACACGGAGGTCAAGGCCGGGGTCCAGACAACCCCGGTGAATTGGGAGACCAGCGACCGGGACTGGCAGGACGTGCCGGCTACTAGGAGCGGCGGCCCTAGCTCGAAAGCAAAGCCCCCCGCCGACTGGGACGACAAATGGTGAGAGAATGGGGCAGAAGGGCGCGAGGGCGATGTGCTGCCTGCCGCCAGCGCCCCCCTGTTTGCTTGTCTGGCGCTTGACCCGAGGGACGCGCTCAGGGTCAGCCAGCCTGACTGTTGCTCCCCGGAGCTCTGCCTACTTGGTGCTTGTTCAGGCTACCTAGAAGTATCATGCCATGCACGTCTCTGCAAGTTGTCAGCAAGGAGAGCGCGGTGTGTGTTTGTAATGGGTGTCCATCAGCAAAACGTGGTTTGTACCAGCAGGTCGAGGTGGTGGCATGCGTGTGCCTGCGTAAAGCAGGGGCACTGAGACGGAACGGGCCTCCGGTGTAATCAAGGTCCCTGCGGAAGGAACCTCGCGATACACTCTGCAAGCAGCATGGTGTGACATGCCAGGGACCGAACAACATTCGCTGCTGGGCCCATGGTCATCACTGCATAGACACCCCCTTCCCATCGTCAGCTTGCCAGCATCCTGGCACGGTCAACCCCTTCGCTGTCCAGGGCCTGTTGAAGGGCGCGCATGAATGCTGCAGCAGGGCAGGGACCCCTCTGGTCCCATGCCTGGCTGGCATGCGCCAGGAATGGCAGCTTCCTCAGGCTGCGCCCACTCAGTCCCTCCGCCAAGCGGGCGGTGTCCAGCAGAGATCTATGGGGGGGTCCGGAGACTCAACAGGCTCAGACACAGGCCCAAGCACAGCAATACCCATGCTGGTCCTCTGAACGACAGACATGGGCACAAGTTCCCAATAAATCAACTGATGGGGCCCAAGCACCTGGCCACATGATCTGCGAGGCCCTCCGCCCCGCCTTCGTCCATGACGGTCCCCAGCCGGAGTGCATGGGAGAAGCCTGGGATGCTGCCCATGTCCCGCACAATCCCGGCCCGATCAAGCTCCGACAGACAGGAGGCGAGGATGGCGTACCTGTGGCCAGTGGACACTCAGAAATTGCTATTCTGTGCGTGATGCTGCACCTGAACTGCCCTAGAAACCCACCCATCACACAGTCTTCAATGCAGCCTTGCCCTCACCGAGCCTCCAAATTTGGTGGGCCAATGTATGCCCTTATGTCAGCTCTGTCCACGAATGCCACATCAATTGCCTCTGCAGGGAATGCGCGGCATGAGTGCATGGGGAAGAGATGATCGTGGTGTGGGGGGTGGGATGCACCTCAGGCATGCCCTTGCCATGAACTTGTAGGTGAGCCCTGCTTGCCCTTCCCTGGCCCTTTCCAGCATTGGGGACATCCTGGAGCAGTCGGATATTGCCGCGGCCCAGTTTCCCTGCCACTGGTCACCAACATCACTGATGCTTCACTCCGTGCATGCACCCTCCAGACTGCTGACCCACCAGTGATGTTGCTGGTGGTGAGGACCATGACATTGGGGTGGCGCTTCAGGGCATCCAGCTGAGTCAGTATGGCATTGACCGCCCGGATGGCATCTGTGGGTTCGGACCCTCCCACTGCAGACTTCCTGCAGTCAGGGTGGCAGGGAGTGGTTGTGTCAGGGGGACACATGCGACGGCATACACCACAGAGTGCGTCCAAGCAGCAATGCTTCCACCCTTGTCCCAGATTGTTACAGCGATGTCACCCGGCCACCCCCACCCCCCTCACCCACGACCCATGCCAACCTGGCCGCAGTCAGGCTCTCCACCTCATCGATGAGGACAAACACCAGGCTGGAGGCATCCTCCACCACCTCCTGGATCTTGGCAAACAGGCGGCCGATGAGCTTGCCGGACTCGCTGAACCACTTGGAGAAGAGGGAATGGGCGTTTACCTCGATCAGGATGCCCTGGGAGAACCTGAAGGACCGGGGGGGTGCATAAGGCTGGGTCATGAGCTGGCTGCACGCAGGGAGACCATGGGTGCAGCCTGGGGGGCCCGCTGGCAGGTTTCCACCCTGTGCGCACAGGGGGCTGCTATCACACTGATCCTTGGCCCATCGCACGCATCGATGGATCGCTCCCTCCGGCCGAACCCGGTCCACCCCGGCCTCACTGCGGCATGAGGCGAATGGACAGCTTCTGGGCCAGGGCCTTGCAGAGCGAGGTCTTGCCCGTGCCCGGCGGACCGTGCAGGAGGACCACCCTGTTCCAGCTGATGAGGCCGGGGTCCACCCCCTGCATGGAAAAGCGCAGTGCTGAGGTGGCATAGCGCAGCAGGCGCTGCTTGATGCACGTCTCGTAGTACAGCGTCTCCCACTGCCCCTCAAACTCCTGCACATGTGGGTGGGCAGCCAGGCATGAGGTTGAGGTGGGGACAAGCTGGGCATTTGAGTTCGCATCTGGGATCCGCGGCAGGGATCAGGACACATGAGTGGTTGGTGTGCGGGGGGCCACAGGGCGGCTGCCGCCTGGTTTGCCATCAGGCTACATGGCTGGGAGATGGAAGCAGCTGCACCATGCGGGCCCACCTCATTTGGCAGGATCCATTCTCTATGGCTGGGGCAGCCCTCCTCCCCTTCATCGTCGCTGGCGGCCCCCTGTCTATCCAGCGCAAAGCAAGCCACCTGCATGGAAAGTGCATCCACTGGTCAGGGCCCGAGGTCATGACCACGCAAGCCCTTCCTCATGTTCAGAATCCCTCGAGATCAGCCCCATGTGTCCACCATGTACCTCCCATTCCACGTCCCATGAGAGCATGGGTCGACCCGCCAGGTCTGGGCGATCCTCCAAGTCCACTATGCAAACCCTGGCTGCATGCTCTGCCAGGAACGGTGCCATCTGTGGGTCCACGGTCAAGGGACCCTCGACGTATGTAACTTTGCTGAGAGACCCCAGGAATTGCATGAGGTGGTGCCTCGTCTCCTCCAGGGTCGCGCAGCTGTCGGCACGCAGGGCGCACTCGACATGGATCACCACTCGTGAGCATGCAGGCTCCCCTGGCCCGGTGGTGTCGGGGACAGTCATGAAAGACGATACTGAAACCGTTTACCCCTGAATAGTCGAAGTTACATGAGATGTTGGGTGCATAGTGTCTCATTAACATTTAATAGATCTCGCGACAGCCTGCTTGCAGCCATGCTTGAAATGTTCATCGGCGCGGGAACGATCGGAAGCGCGATCCCGGAGAAGGTGGTTCCTGGGAGCCTTCGCCATGCATCGGGACGGACCAACTGATCACAGGACAGGCAACTCGGTGGGATCTGGAGTATCACACTACTTCTCTGCGGTTCCTGAGCGCGACATTGTATATTGGAGTGTGCACACGGCTGGAAGTGGTGCGCTCTCGGCATCTACAGTCCCTTCCCTCTGGTGCGCAGCACCCATGGAGTCCCCTCGCAGTCAGGCGGGGCTGGGAATAAAGGCGTCTGAGGCCAACAAGAACACAAACTGGCTGGACTCGCCGGCTGCGTGGGTATACTACGTCGCCCTCCTCCTCCTGTCCTGGCTCTTGGTCTCCAGCTTCACCGACCCTGGCATCGCATGGACGTACGTCCACATCGCGCACGGCGTCCTCACCTACATCATATTCCACTGGGTGAAGGGATCCCCCATCGCGAACGACCAGGGCGTGTATGACAGGTGAGGGCAGTAGGGGGCCTGGCGATGCGACGGGGTAGACCAGCACTCAGCATGACACACCAGGGAGCTCCCAGACTATGTACAACGCCTCCAGAGTGCATGTGGTGGCTGCTGAGGCCATGACCCATCCCTCTTGTCTTCTCTCTTGCAGCCAAACCTTCTGGGAGCAGATCGACGACGGGCAGCAGTTCACACCGGCCCGGAAGTTTCTGACGGCGGTGCCCGTGGTCCTCTTCCTCCTGGCCTCCAATGGCACAGACTACAGACGGCAACCCCTCGGCGTCAACCTCATCGTCGTGATCGTGCTGGTGATCGCCAAGCTGGCCAGCATGCACCGCGTGCGCATCCTCGGCATAAACAAGTACTGAGGGGCCACTCCTTTTTCCTCTGGCTTGCATGACAATAAGAGAATACGACCCGACCTTGTCTTTTCTATTCCAAGGGATCTGTACTGTTAGACACTGGTAGACGGATAGGTCAAGAGGCTGTGATCGAGCTGCGGTACAGTGCGAGTGCTGCACCTGCCTATTGTGGTTGTCTATCTCAAGCTTGCCAGGCAACTGCAAGGAAGCCTTTTATGCCACACCACCTTAGTATATGGATAGTGAAACATGGGAAGTGCCTCTGAGAAGCATGGTCAGTTTGACATGCTCTCGATAAAATTCACATTGCGTGTGAGATAGTATGGCTTAGGCGCCCGATTTGAACAAGGCGCGATCGGATTAGAAAGATTCGCTCTTGACCCCGGCTAGAATTTGTGCATGTTATCCTATTATACACAAGTCCATCGCCCTCTTCCCACCGCCTTTCCGTCGGTCCCTATTCTGGTCGCAGCACACAATGGCAGCCCTTCAAGGTCTTTCTGTTGCCGCTGCTGCCACGCATGCCCCCCGATCTGCATTTGGGGCGGTGGTGACCTCCTCCCACTGCACCGTGGGTGCCCCGGCCCTGTCCGCAAGCCACTCCATGCGTGCTGGCGCCGGGCTCAGGGGTCGCCCCATGCGATCGCCTGTGGCCGGTCGACGGGCCATGCAGGTGCGGGAGGCATGCCACTGTGCCTTGGGCGCAGATCGAATCAGGGTTTCGGTCGACGGTATCTTCATGGATATGGCGCGCCAGCTCCGGCAGTTTCTCACGCCACACCCTCATTCCCCTTGCTGTATTGAAAGGTTATGGCGGTGAGGGATGGTGCCAAGCTGGATCGCCCCCTCCGCGTCGCTGTCATCGGTGGTGGACCCGCGGGAGCCTGCACCGCCGAGACTCTGGCTAAGGGTGGGGTGGAGACTTACCTCATCGAGCGGAAGATGGACAACTGCAAGGCAAGCATTTCTATGGTTGAATGTGACAGGATTTATTGGACGGAATGTGACTTCAATAAAGGGTAACTATTCCTCTTTCTTATGTGTTTGTGCAACTGTTCTGCACGATACGTACATGATCCGTCCCCCCTCTACCCTCCTCACCATGCAGCCATGCGGTGGCGCCATCCCCATCTGCATGGTCGACGAGTTCAGCCTGCCGCCTGAGATCATCGATCGCCGGGTGACCAAGATGAAGATGATCTCCCCCTCCAACCGTGAGGTGGATGTGGGCAAGACCCTGAACGACAAGGAGTGGATCGGCATGTGCCGGCGCGAGGTGAGGCGGGTTTGGGCAGAATCATCCCTGGTTGGTTGTGTCCTTCCAGACATGGAAGAGTCTGGCCCCACCCTGTCCTCACACACCTGCGTAGTAAAGCACTATCATCTCCCCTGCCACTGTGATTAGCTTGATCTGGAAGGAAGTACGGCAGCAAAGGGCCAAACCTTGCTCCACCTTGCCTCAAATTCGCCTCAACACCCTGCCACCCCCCTCGCCCTCTCTCTCCCAAGGTGCTGGACGACTACCTGCGCAACCGCGCCCAGGACCTGGGCGCCAACGTGATCAACGGCTTGTTCATGCGCATGGACCAGGCGCCCGGCGACGGCCCCTTCACCCTGCACTACAACAAGTACGATGGCGTGTCCAGGGTGGGCAAGCCCTCCACGCTGGAGGTGGACGCCGTCATCGGCGCGGACGGCGCCAACTCGCGCGTGGCCAAGGAGATCGGGGCCGGGGACTACGACTTTGCCATCGCCTTCCAGGAGCGCATCCGCATTCCCGAGGACAAGATGGAGTACTACAAGGACCTGGCCGAGATGTACGTGGGCGACGATGTCTCCCCCGACTTCTACGGCTGGGTGTTCCCCAAGTATGACCACGTGGCGGTGGGCACCGGCACCGTCGTGAACAAGACGGCCATCAAGCAGTACCAGCAGGCCACGCGCGACCGGTCCCGCGTGAAGACCGAGGGCGGGACCATCATCCGCGTGGAGGCGCACCCCATCCCCGAGCACCCGCGCCCGCGGCGCGTGAAGGGGCGCGTGGCGCTCGTCGGCGACGCGGCGGGGTACGTGACCAAGTGCTCGGGGGAGGGCATCTACTTTGCGGCCAAGTCGGGGCGCATGGCCGCCGAGGCCATCGTGCAGGCCTCGGCGCGTGGGCAGCGCATGGTTGGGGAGGCCGACCTCCGCGTCTACCTGGACAAGTGGGACAAGCAATACTGGGCCACCTACAAGGTGCTGGACATCCTGCAGAAGGTGTTCTACCGCAGCAACCCCGCGCGCGAGGCCTTTGTGGAGATGTGCGAGTCCGACTATGTCCAGAAGATGACCTTCGACTCCTACCTCTACAAGACAGGTGAGGGTGGGTGGGAATGGATCGTATGTTTGTTTGCTATGGTGGTGGGGTGTTTGCGGAAGCATGCCAAGGACTGCTGATGAGTCAGATTTGCAGCCGGTCCAGAGTGCAATCGCCAGACAGCCAATCGTCAGCATGTGCCCATGCTCGTACAGATCCTTAACGACCCCCCCCCCCCCCTTTCCCTCTCCCTCACTTCCTTGGACCCCGTCCCTCACACCTCCTTCCCTCACACCTCCCTCCCCCCCCCCATCGTATTGCAGTGGTGCCCGGCACGCCCCTGAATGACGTCAAGCTGCTGGTCCAGACCGTGGGCAGCCTGCTGCGCGGCAACGCGCTCAGGTCCGGGGAGGGGACCTCGGTGTCCTTTGGCAACCGCACAGCCTCCGAGAATGCCGCGGCGGTGTGAGGCGCCCCAGAGACCCAATTTGGGGCCCTGGTATAGAACCCTCGCTGTTAGCTGGATGAGGCCCCCCGCTCCTGCAGACCTGATTCTAGATCTGGAGGGACCCCTGCCTGGTGTGACCAAGGTCCACACGTCCCCCCAGCCTGGCTGCGGCGACCCTCCCCTCTCAACCCCGGGGCTGTTGGTTTACATTTTCTTTCCTACAGGACGGTCGTGCTCGGCAATTTTCCAAAGCGCCAGCACATCTCGGTGCTGCTGACCTGTGTGCACATGCCAGGCGTGCATGCTACCACTGGTACGGAAGTATTGTTGTATAAATCCAGGCCCACGCCTGCCGCCACTGTCGTCAAAGTAGGCACTCAGGCGACTAGCCAGGTAGCCTCAACAGGGGGCACCTGGTAGTGCTCGGCAGCGTGCAGCAGCCAGCCGGATGTCACAGAGGGCACCGCTGGCGGCAGGGTGGCGGGGCGGGGGGCGTCCCCCGCCAGGATGCACAGGCTGCACTCTGTCGGGCCAGTGAGCTGCGTCGCAAAGGGAAATGGGGCATGTGAGGAGTGAATTCCAGTCTAGGCCTCAAGGCTTCGGGTCTAAAGGTGTTCAGGCATGGTCTCCCACGCGGCCATGCACATACAACCTCCCGACAGCAGATTTCAGCGGCCCAGAGCCTTGGTCATCGCGTACTCCTCCATGCAGTACGCCGTCCCCCCTGGCAAAAGTCACGTGCGCTGCTACCACGGGGTCATAGCACCCCTCCGGCCCCCTCACCTCTGCGCCCAATGCACCGGCCAGCCTGCGCAGCGAGCCCAGATCTGCGGCGGAGGCGGCGCCGCCTTCGCGCCGCTCCACGCTCGCATCTGACTTCCGGGGCCGTGCGGTGCCGGACCCGGTCCTGGCGTGGATGTACAGTCTCTGCCCGGCCAGCAGCGTGGCGCCGTGCTCCCGGGCCGAGCGTGACCGCTCGGCCGCGGCGCGGAAGCGCTCGCCGACGGGGAACTGGCGCGCGGGTAGCCACTCGCCGGCGTCGAGGGACGCCGTGATCCACTGGGGGGTCACCAGCCAGGCGCCGTTGGCCACTGGCAGAGGGAGGTGGATTGGTTGGGCCTCCGGGGCGTGACTGAGCTATGGAGGGAGCAGCGCTCTCCCCTCCATCCGCCAGACCTCCACTTCCCGCAGCACACCCTGAAACCACTCACGTGCCAGCAGGAGTTTGATGGTGCGGCGTTCCCTGCCCAGAACCAGGTGCGTCGCGCCCGCCTCCCCCCGGCCGGAGGAACACAGTCGTATGCCACGCAGGCGCAGCGTGGCGGAGCGCGCCAGCTCGGCGACGTCCTTGTCGACTGCACGACGGTGTGGAGTGTTGATGGGAACTGCACAGGCAGTGCCATCACACAGCTCCTGCCTGGGATGCTTTCCACATGTACCCTGCAGAGGCTCAGGTCCCACTCCCCAGCACCACGCTCATCCTCAGTCCATTCTCCATTACAGCACCCATCATCACCCCTCACCCGAGGTCAGCGCCAGGAGGACCGGCTGTGGGTCCCTGGGTCCAGCTAGCTCCTCTGCCACCGGCACCTCAGCCGCAAGTTTGGCTCCCCTGGCCCGCCTGGCGCACGGCTGGGCGCCGGCAGCCGGCTCCTGGCGCACGACGCGCCCCGTGGTCTTCCGCGCTCTCTTGGCCACAGTCCTGCGTGATCTGGCGCCCTCCCTCGGGGCGTCCCAGGGCCGTTCCGCGGACCAGGGGCTCGGCCGCGGTCCCGGACTGGGCGCGCGCTGTGACGGCGTGGGCTGGGTCGACGGCGGGGTGGGCGCGGTGCCTTCTCCCTGGCTTCCGGGCGCGCAGACCCCCGGCAGCGGCACCTGGGGCGATGGCAGCCTTTCCACGCCGGGAATGGGGATGCCACCCAGCAGCGACCTGAAACCGAACATGAGGAGGGTTGCGGTGAGAGGAATATTGTGGTAAGGTGGAGTGGTCGTAGCGTGGCCAAGGACATTTCAGCTCCAAATCGTCGGTCATCCCACACTGGGAGTCAGCCGGCCCCCTGCACAGGCTCCTCGCACCGCACACCCGCGGGAGGATACCACCCCCAACAAACTCCCTGCACACCTCCTCCCGCTGTGCGGCCCTGGGGAGGGCAGCGCGGTCTTGAAGGGGGGCGTGGACTTGAGGAGGAGCACGGGCTTGTCGATGTGCCGCACCAGCTGCCGCACCGAGAAGCGCGG